TGGAATGCTCATCCTGATTTTTAACTACCTAATTATGTAGCAGTTGTTAATTGATGAGAATAATCTGTAATAATAACTTTAGGAAGATTTGATGTAAGATAATATAAACTGACACTAATAATAAATGCAAATTAAAGTTTAAATTTTCAAAGCACAAGGGGTACTGATCGCTGTTCGTTACCCATAGCTATGTTCAGGTTAGCGGTTGAATTCTTTGTGCTGATGTTCCTTAAATAACATTTTGAAACACAGCTACGTTTGCCTGTCCATTGTAAGTAGTTCCTTCGCAAGATGCTCAAAGCGGTTATCAAAACTGCTTTCTGAGGTGCTTATTACTGAGCAGAGAGATGTTGCCTTTCCTAGGAAAACGTATACGAATTTCGGGCCAGCTCTGTGGAGTTAACAGTATTTATGGTGTTCTTAGTTGTTCTGCACTCTTCTTTCACCACCCTGTGGGTTTTAAGCAGTTGTTGCTGGGTTTAAGTTGGTTGTTTGGGTGCGCTGGCAACATTTTTGAATTCTTACACCCGTATATCCATTGCAGTGGATGATTTAATTAATTGTTAGCTTAAAATTATTAAAATAGATTACTTAAATGTAAGAGCAGTTTATGATTTCGTGGTTGTAAGGTAGATTAATATACAACCCAAATTTCACAATAATTGGGTAATATTTTGCCTTCCTTCACCAGTCTGTTCATGCGCTCTTAAAACTCTCTTGTGCCTCTCCATGCAAAGAGGATTGATTTCGTGATTGTTTCAGGGATCGAGATGATATTTCAAGCTGGATAAAGATGGAAATTATCTGTATTTCCACCCTCTCCGTTTAGTGATTCCCTTACAGCAGCCTCACCTATACCTCACCTCTGGTTTAAGGGCAGGGAAATAAAAGCGCATTGATCTTTTTCGTCACTGAGTCATCTCTTCTCTCCATGGAAAATTCATCTTACTTGCAGTGATTCCGTCTCTTGTGATATTTGAATTGTCCTCCTGTAAAAACACGTGTGCTTCCTGAAATATGGTGGTGGAGTTTCTGGGCTGGTGTTTTTTGCTCTATTCCCCCCCTACCCTCCGCGTGATCCCCAGCCTAAGGCCTTGTCTGTGCTCTGGGAAGTCTTTGTAGCTTTTTCCTGGTTTTCCTCAGGTTTCCCAGTAGGCTTCCAAGCACCCTTCCCCAACCTATTGGGTTTTCTGGTGTGTTGTTTCCCAGCTCTGACTCACATTAATATTTGAGTGTCCTGCCTTAATCATTCATCATTTTTCACAGATCTCTGCCTGTATTTTAATTTCTTTTCTCTCCGACTTCTACTTGGGCTTCTTGTTGCACTCTGAATGTCTGCTGTAGGAGTAGATGGTTTGCACAGTCCGCTGGTCTCGCATCAAACCATCAGTTTGCATGTCATTTTATCAGGGCAGTTTATTTAATTGTAGCTGCAGCATGGGATATTTGTTGCCGACATTTGTCAGAACAAGAGAAATAGCGACAGTGTAGATGTAGGAGGCTCGAGGTAGCTCCATTGGCTTGGAAGCGGAAGCATACAGTGACAGGTTGAGAAATAGAAATAAAAAAGACCTGAGCTAAGATGCAGCTTGCATATTGAATTCCAAGCGACTGTGCAAAATTTTTTGGCAGTATTGAACTTCCTTTACTATTTCATCTCAGCGTATAGATAATTTGGGACATTAGCCAAGTGTATATTGTGAGCATTGAGCAACCTGGCTTTCCACAGGCTTTTCAAGCTTTTCTTGCTCGCGTGCGTGTGTGGAGGAAATCCTCGCAGAGGCTGCCTCGCCCCCAGGAAGCGCTGTGTGACACCGAAGGGCTGAACGCTGTATTCCTGCCTCATTTATTTTGAAAACTTTGCTACTGAAACCAAACTTAATCAATGAGCTCTGCGTTGTCTCCGATAAGTTATGTACTGGCTTTATTGATTGGGAAGGATTTTAGAAAACCCTCGTGGGGTTTCTAATGTCAGCAGTGTTTTGATTATGAAAAGAGTTGGAACCTTGGGAGCGGGAGCCAGGTGGTGTATGTCCTGCAGCCACCGGTGACACGGCTGGGCTCTGGCCCTCGGGGACCCGGTTCATGCCCTGCACTTTAACTGGGGCGACTGGCTGCTAGAGATGCGCTTTTTGCTCATTAAAATGTTCAAAATCAAACTGCATGTAAAAAGATTTGTGAAAATATAAACTTGGGGATTGATCCAGGAAACTGGCACGTGATACCCCAGAGAGGCTGCTTTCAGCTCCTGGGTAATTTACGCTGATCAGCTGCGTGGCCGGGTTGTTGGAGGGGGGGTTGGGGTTTTTTTCCCTTTCTTTTATTTAGGGAGGGTGCTTTAGAGGCATTTATGTAGGTTTTTCTTTAAAAAGATAGGCATAGGAGAATAAAATAGGAAAAGAGGTTATTGATGCCACCTCTGGTTTATATCAGGTAAAAAAATAAAAAGGATTGTAAGATGCTGACATGGAGTGATTCTAGGTTTGTTTTTGTTACAGTTTTTGTTTGAATTCATAAAGAAATGTTTTTTCTAGGCCATAAGTAACTACCCACCTAAAGAGGTCTGTTAGGAAGTTGCGTATTATGCAGGCTTTGCTAGTCTTGCAAACTGAGCAGTATTAAAGAAAGAAAGAAAAAAAGGGCAAAAAAAATGACTGCATTGCTTTTATAGCAACGAGCTTGCAAACTGAGCAAAAATTGACTACTTGCATGGAAAAGATCAGCAGTTGTGCTAATTATAAACTAAATATGTACATGATTTTTGTATTTTTTTAATAGTTAAAGTTTGAAAATACATCTGTGGTTAACCTGTACAAGTCTCAATTTCTTTAGTTGTAAATCAAGGCAGGTAAGTATTGGTGTATAATGAGTGGCAAATTATGTGCAAGAACATTGTAAAAAACACGTAATAATATCACTGTAAAACTTTTCTTTAAAAGACAAAGCAATGCATAGTGGTATAGATTGAATATATTGCCTCTAAGTGAAAATTTTGTTTTCTGTGTTTAGGAAGCTATAAATATTGAGAAACAAGTGTAAAGTAAGTTCTGAGTAATAAACTTATCCCACAATAACACAATGCTGATGACATGCTGAAGTGTTTTATTATGTGAATGTTTTTACTTGCATTTACAGTAATTATTTAAGTAATCAAAATTCTATGTAGCAGCTACATGGCTTTGTTACTAAAAGACAGAAGTGCAGTCATTATTTTGAGGACAATTGTATTAATACCGGAAATAAAAATACAGACACTTTACTCTCCTGTCTTTATAATTTTGATTATTTTAAAATGCGGGGGGGGTTGTTGCTATTTTTTTAAAAAACATTTTATGCCTGAAAGTTTCAGTTGTGGCTAAAGGACAACTGTGTAGTAGCTAAAATGTGTGAAGATGTAGTTTCTGGGCACAAGCAGAGTTGTGCAGCAGGCGGTCGATCTGTGTGGAAGTCGGTGAGTTCCTGCATTAGGGTGAACCCAATCTCATTAGTGAGGCCTCTGCTATCAAGGCATTATTTTGTATCAAAATACGTATTTCTGCAGAGTTTACTCTGAAACCTGTATAGCTCCTTCCCAAGTTCCCTGCTGCAATGGAAAGAAGGATGCTGCTTTGCTTTACATGGCATTCTTCAATAGAGCCTTTCTTGTTCTTTAAAAACAGGAGCTTGTTAAATAATCTATCAATAAACTGTCAAGAAGTCAAAGTTTCCATATCTGTTTCTGTCTGAAATCTTCAGAACTTGCCACGTTTTAGTTGTCAGGAAACCTCCAAAGAGTCTATGAGCAGTTGAGCCTGAAACCATTGCTAAGAATGGGATGTGCTTGGTTGAATTATGTAGGAGGAACATGTTCTTGCAAGGGAGTCAATATGTTTTCTGCTTCATTGAATAGGTTATTAGATTGATGTAGTTTATTTGTTGAATGATGGTGTTGGTTTTAGAAATAAATGAAGCGAGAAGTGCCTATTTAGTTGTTAATGGTAATTTCTTGCTGTTGGTCAGAAAAGCGTTGAATTTATTGGAGGGTTTGTTTATTCAGTCAGGGTCATCTTGTTTCAGCTGAAAGCAGAAATATAGTTTACATTTCAGGTCCTGAAATATTTAAGCGGGAAGGAGAATGAACGAGGAATTGGCTGGTAGTAAAGGTTTGCAGACTGGGTAGACCTTTATGGTGTGTTACGGGTTACAGAATTCAAATTTTGCATGTTATAGGAGAGTATAATGTCTATGAACACAACTGTTTGGGGACTAACATCTTTCTGGGTTTGCCTCCGTAATGGCTGTATTTGAAGTTGTAAAGTGGTAAATGATTAATTTCTCTGATCACAGTTTCAGTTTTGCTTTGTATTTGATACCATGCAAGGGCTATCCTTAAAAATTTCTCCGCGCAACTTCTCAAAAATGATTTGTAGGTTAAACAATTAGTATTAAAATTAATACACGTGATTTGAATCAGTCTTTTAACGCTCAGATTTCCCTTCTAATAGCAGTAGGCGACGTTAAACATTCCCTCTGTGAGACCTACTGCCTTTATCTTTTGTTATTTGTCTTGCTGATGTTAGGAAGTATTCTCTAATCCCCCAGACCTCTGTTCCTAGGTAACAGTCAAAAGCTGTGCCAGCAGAAGTGGCCCTGCCAGGCCAAGCCCATGTGGGTTGGTGTTATTCACTGTGTTCCATATGGTCAGGGTAGAGATTGTCCCTAGAGAGGTGTTAACACTCAACAACCCAACCTCCTCCTGCTCTGTGGAGAATTGCTGGATGGCTCCTGCTGCCTGCCCATGTGTGAATCTTGATTAATTTTTCATTTTTAATGAAGTTTGATCATGTTTATTATTTCATGTGATTGACTGCCTGGTACTCCCTCCATGTAATTGATAAAGCCCATATTTCTTCATCTGTCTCTTATTTCTTCAGGGCAAAGTTGTGAAATTGTGTGATGTGGTTAATATTAGATTTATTGCTCCCAATAGATGTATAAATTATCTCTCTTTCTCTCCACAGGAAGTTCTACAGACTTTGACCAAGTTTTGTTTCCCCTTCTATGTGGACAGGTAGTGTTAGCTTTTCAAACTTTACAAGAAAATAAGCTTGTCAATAAAACCACTGTAGAAAATAAAAACCATACCATTCTTAATGTTCTGTCTGCTTGGCTGTGATTTAAAGCACCCAAGTGCAAATTATAGTCTTAGAATCGCTTTATCCTGGGGTTTTTATGGGCACCGTCAAAAAAAAAAGTTTTAAAAGTTTGAGCTGTTCAGTGGCAGCAGTAAGAGTGCATTTTGTTTTACTTCTCTGTGATGCTTGGGTGTGAAAATGCTCAGGTAGTAATTGTCAAATATGTGTATTAATAAGAAAACTTTATTTGAGTATATATTTTATTTCTTAGTCGCCAAAATACAGGCAGAACAATGGATTAAGTGCTTTCCATTTAAAGGCCTCTTGATCTTGCTGGAATGCTGGTGCTTTACCTGGTGGCTACTTAATGTTGCTTCTAATTTTGTGGAGAAAAACTGTAAAGTTAGTTCCAGCTGATTTGACGGGAACGGAGACTATTTAATTCTTGTAGTTTAGAAAACTCCAGAACTTTTTTAGTTTTTTTGTTTTGCTTTCACTGTGACATATTTTTGATGGTTTCATGAGAAGAAGGGGCATTGAAATTTTGAAAGAATGCACTACTGCTCATACCATCGACGAGCACCAATTAATTGGGTTCGAATTGCTTGTCGTAGGTCAGCTAGCGCACGGATGATGAAACTGACCTTAAACTGTGATTAAACTGCTAGAATTCTGTTCTCATTTCAGTGAAATCTGTGATATTTACAGTAGAAATTGATTTTCTTTATAAATCAACAACCATTTCTAGTATCATTTCTCGTTTGAGCTATTGTCCAATTTTGTTTTAATTTTTTTCATTTTCCCTCCACCCATAGGCCAGCTGGTATTTCTGAGTTGTCTTGAAATACTGGTCAGTAGATTCCATGAACGGGAGGAAGTCTTACAGTGCTTCTCTGGAGAGAGGAGCCTACGGAACAAACCCAGGGCTGCGTTTGTCCTCCAGTGTAGTGATCTGGGGGGGAGGAAGCTGAACGCCTGAGTGGATCGTGCTGATGATGTTCTTTCAGCCCTCGGGCTGGTTCCTGCAGATCAGGGTTGAGAGACGTTGGTGAGGCGCTGCTGGAGCCAGCCGTTATTACCAGTGCCTCTGCTGCCCTCGATGTGTATATAAAACGAGAATTTGAATATCCTGGGCTGTCAACATGAGCTACTTAACAGGTGCTTGTTGACTTGGATGACCTTTAAAAGCCACAAATAGTACTTATAATTTGGAATCTCCTTTTGCTGATCATCTTCTGCCTTGTCTAAGAGGAGGGAGCAGGGAAATACATCTATTTGTCTCATGTGTATGTTTCTACTAGAAATATTTATGGTTACTCTGTGTAGGTTTATTGTACCTAGGGGTTTTGTTTGTTCTGTTGTTTGTGTTTTTTTCCCCTAGCAATATAACATTTTGAATGATAAGAACACTGAAAACCCATATGGGGTGCAAATGAGAACATAATGAAAAGTGATTCCCATTTCTGGATTTGTTTGTTTGCCTGAATATCACAGACTGTCACTGAAAAGACTCTAAGCCAGCCATTTTGAACGTAATGGTGAGATTGTAACCCAGAGCATACTTAATAATTTAAAATTTAGAATGGACTTTCAGTACTTCAGAAGGTGGAGGATATCCCAAGTTAAGGGCATGGCAGCAGAAAGGGGTGCGTGTTCTCTTCTTGGTGCAGAAAAATACACGCGCATGTGCATGGCACGCATGCATAGGGGTGTGTGTAGGTGCATATATGTAAGTAAATACTTGTTATAGTCCTCTGTGATATAAATTTGAGCTGACTTTGAACCATGTGCGGGAATTAACCGGCCAGTTACAGCAAAAAGGTAAACGGTCTTGTATCCCTACATGCACATGAATTTTTAATACGACCGCGATCCAGAGAGACGCAGTGCAGCTGGGAATACCTGCTCTGACAGGCTCTTCCTGGAACTCAACCAGTGGTGCATTTGCACTGGTTGATCTTCTCTTTCCTTATGCACTTTGAACCAACTACTGAGCATTTATACATTTCTTATATTGCATTTAAAAAAGCAGGTAACCCCATAATGAAATTACTTTAGCAAATGCTTTAATATTGCCCTCAGACTTCTCAGGAAACACTTCCTGTACTATGAGATGAAATAAAATTGCTTCTAGAAGAAATGCAGTCTTTAGTTATACGTCAGACACATCTTACAGAGTTGACTAGCACTCTCTAGTGGGATTTTAGCCCTCTGTATGTGCCTGAAAAGTTGTATTTTGGATCAGATCTGCAGTTACTATAGTTCTTTGTCCTCAGAGTGTTTTTTTTTTTAAAAAAAATATATATATATTGCCTTGTTCATTCTGAGCAAAAAGAGAAACACTGAAGTGGTTTGAGTAAAGGCCTTCCAAATACTTAGGGACTGTCCCCAGTTAAGTAGGCTGCCTTGTTGTTAGCAGTGACAATTTTAGTACTCGCATCTCTGGAATGCTGAGAGATTTTAACATTATTATTTTTAATGTAGCACTGGAGGTACTGGCTCATTGTTCAAATAACTTAGGAACATGGAATAGTGCCTTCCGTTGAAATTATACTCTGTGTAAGATGTCTCTTCAGGATCTGTGGAAAAATGATTGGTACAAATTACAATGAAATACTGATACAAGGGATCAGAAATGCATAGTCATAGAATCACAGAGTTGTTTAGGTTGGAAAAGACCTTTTAAGATCATTGAGTCCAACCATTAACCCAGCAATGAACCGTGTCCCTGAGCACCACACCTACATGACTTTTAAATGCCCCCAGGGCTGGTGACTCCAGCACTTCCCAGAGCAGCCTGTTCCAACGCCTGACAACCCTTTAGGTGAAGAAATTTTTCCTAATGTCCAATGGAAATCTCCCCAGGCCACCTCCTCCTGTCTTATCTCTTGTTACTTGGGAGAAGAGACTGACCCCTCCCTGGGCCTGATGTGGGATATTTAAGAAATCACTCTTCCTCTCTCGCACCTTCTCTCCAACCCTCCCTTCAGACTGCTGGGGATGAGATTTGTGGTGCTTCCATCCTTCTCCCCATCTGAAAATAGAGCAGTGGATCTTAAGTACTGACATTAAGATCTTAGGAAAAGCACTTTTTATGTTGGGAAAACTGACAGCTGAAACCTGAGCAAGACCTCTCAGACATATTTAGTTTCTGCAGATCACATAAATGCTAGAGTCTTTAGGTTTAGTTTGGAGGACCTTAACAACTTGTCACACTTGTTTAATAAACAAGTTTCTCCCTGCTGCAAATGAAGCATGTTTTTTTTTCCTTGTTCCATAATTTTAATTGTCAGCTAGAATGCTATTTCTCACACTTGCTCTGCTCTGAACCTTGTTAAAATTAAGCATATAATCCTCTTTTAAAACACCGTACTAAAATCACCATAGTAACATTACATCCAAGCTTTACAGATAAACCACAACACCAATAAGGGATTTTTGGGTATCCCCTGGCAGCTCAGGGTGGTTTGTGGAAGTGGTTGCTCTGTTGACATTTAGATTTCCGTAGGATGATGGTACTTACACTGTCTAATTCTCAGACTACTGAAATGCTTTTAAATGTCTGTCTTTTGTTCATCTGTGAATTCGGAGCACTTTTTCATCTTCCTCACTGCATGATTTTCCTTCTCTCTTTGGAGTGCATGGAAAGATTCTTCTCTGTGAGCTGGACAGCGACATCTTTCCAATCCAGCTTTTATTTCTGAACATCTTTTTTTTTTCTCTAGGCACTGACTGTATGATCTCTCACATGAGTTGTTTGTTGCCTTGTATATGGTATCATGGAAGAGAATATTTGCTTGCTTTTAAAGCTTGTGGCTGTTAGTTCAATGGGCTTGAATTTGTTGGGTTTTTGTTGTTGCTGTTTGTAGGAGTGGCTTATAAAGATGCACATGTAAATGCTAGTCACTTCTCACTAAACCTAAACTGTCAGTATAAGGTTTCAGATCTGAAGTGGGATGGTATTAGTCCAAACTTCACCCTTAATGTCACAATATCTGTTAAACAGTAAAAGGACATCTCTACAAACTGAGAGTTGGGCTTGGTTCGCACAGAATCTACTATCACTGCACATAAGCCTTTGTCTAACTTTAAACAAATGTGGTAATATCTCAAGAACATCTTTCATTTTGTTAATAAAGAGCATTCCAAAAGTGCTGTGCTTTAAATGTAAAGCATCTTATTGTACTATTTCAAGCGTAAACTGTTAGTGGTAAAATATAGATGTAAGTTACAATATTTTTAAAGACATGAATTTTTAAATGCTGGGCTCTGGGGTTTTTGTTTGTTAGTTTCAGTGGTTTGGTTCTTGATTTTTGTGTTGTCTGTGGTTTTGCTTTTTTGTTTTGGTGGCGGTTGTTGTTGGTTGTGGTTTTTTTGTTTTGTGGTGTTTTCCGAAAGTGTGTTTTTCCAGTTTGGGCAGATTGTGCTGTAGCGATACTTCCCACTGTGGCGTGTGGGAGCCAACATCTAGGAATGTTATTAGCTCCCCTGTGCTATTCTTCAAGAGCCAGTAAGATCTTTACTTGTGAAGCAAATGACATAATTTTGAAAAATCATATAAAAGCCCATCAAAATTATTTCTGTGGTCGTGGCTGGCTGTAGCACAGTGTACTTGCAATTCTAGATTCTCTTCTCTTCCTTTGTGCACTGTTCTAGTCTTCCTTGGAACTCAATGCCTGGCTGCTAGAGTGAGAGGGAGTCGCCTGGCATGGGCCCACTTGCTGGACATTTTGGAGTGATGTGTCTGGCATACATGCAAAATTGGTACATTGATAATAAAGCTTCTACAAATTAATATCCAAGTTTTGAAGAAGCTTATCATGTTGTTAAACATTGTCTTGCTCTTGGAGTAAACCAATTCTTAAATGAAAAGCAATAAAGCAATAGGTTATGTGAGAGAACATGGGTTTGATTTGTACAGTGGGGACTGCATTGAAGATGGTCGATAGTCATAACCATCTTCATTTGAAGATCAACACATTTTAAGTATCCTCCCACACTTTAAAAATGGGGAAAAAACCCAAGCAACCCACAACACCACTTCTCCCTCACCAAGCAACTAGCTCAACTAGCATATTTAAGTTTCTAGAGGGTGTATACTTTCAAAGTTAATTTCTCTAAAAATCTATGCTTAAAGGGGAAATGTTGCAGGTTCGATGACTTGGGCTAGATACTTTCGACACAGAGTTAGCTCAGCATTAATATTTTCCTCTTACTCTCTTCATTTTCAGCCATGCAGTTAACCAAGTTGGGCAGAACTTTACATTTGTGCTTACAGACATTGACAGCAAGCAGAGGTTTGGATTCTGTCGCTTATCTTCTGGAGCCAAGAGCTGCTTCTGTATCTTAAGGTAGGTCTGTGGTTTGGCTTTTGGCTGACTCTAGGAAACAGTGTTTGCCTTTGCTGTGTTACACTGCAATTATAATTTCCAGCTGTTCAGAATTACTTTCCTATCTGGTCCTTGAAGTCACTGCTCTTCTGCAGAAGTGATGCAAAATATCTTGCACTTTGAGTTGCTCTGTAGATAACTGTATTTGTTTGTAGTCAATGTTCTCGAGTTAACAATGTGGAAAAAAAAAGTCTGTTTGCAGTAATTTGATATGACATAGCATGATGGCAGCTGTTATCTTTAGCTGTCACAGCTGATCTTGTTAAGACATTTTGTGGACATTTGTATATGCAAGTTTTATTAACAAAGCATCTGTTGGTAACTGAGAGAATGTCACTGATGCTCTTCATATCCTAAAAGTTTGTGTGCCTGAGCTTTACTCTGTCCCGTTGAGGGCTTTGTGAATTTTGTCGTAATAAAGACCTTTAGTGGCAGTTGGGAACAAAGCATTTCGTGTGAAATGGGCAGAGGCTCTGTCAGAGTAGTTTTTGATGACCTCCCACAGACACGTTGGGATACAGTTCGTAACTTTCTGTTTACATTTGCTGCAAGAAAAGATGCAAGTAAAAACAGTTCTAATACCTACTAATCGTTCCATTAAGAACTAATACGGATTGAAGATTTCCGCATGGCATCTGGCCTGTCTTCTTTTAAACAAATTAAAGAGTGGGTCTTCTTTCTGGTTTTTTTGCGTATTTGTGAGAAACTGGAAGTTTCAGAGCAATGGCCCAGGTAAAGATAGCTCAGGTGACTGATCAGCTGCTCAAGTAGTCACAAACAAGGACAGTTTCTTCTATGAGCAATTGTAGGCATCTGTCTCGATCATCTCTGCTTTGCTTTTCATGTGAGAGAATCCAGTGTAAGAGCAAGAGGAACTTGCCTTTGTCCTACAAGGACTCTTGCGTGTGATGGAATGGGACCTTTGGGATTTATGTTATTGAGTGTGACCCTTCTGGAGAATTTCAGGAATAATGTTGCAAACTACAAGCTCACCTCTCAAGTACAAGGACACATTTCATTGGGTTGCATACAGCAACGCTGTGGAAGAGATTTGGGATTGATACGTGTATTTAAAATGAACATCTAGTAGGTGTTCCAACTATTATTAGCTATGGCAATCCAGCAATATGGACCGTCTGCTGAAGACAGGAAGGTATTTCCCCAGCTCATTCCCCGAAGCTGCTGCCCTGTCTGGTCCGGGTGCTGATTCACTCTCATGTGGGAAGTGTCTGTTACACAAGGTAACTTTTCCTGATTAACAACAAATTAAAGGGGAAACACAGTTTAAGAAGAAAATCTGAATGAGGAGTAGTATGAGTCCCTTCTTGATCTCTCCTGGATAAGAGTTCTTTGCTGTCAGCTCCCTTATGTTGAGTGAATGCCCAGAAGAAATGGAGGAGTTGTGTTGTAGTTAAATGCCTTCTGCTTCAACTCATAACCAAAAAAAAAAGAAAAAAACAAAAAGAGTTCCATTACAGTTACAGCAGTGGGTGAACTGGGACTTTTAACTTCATTCGTATTGCTTCTTCCTCCTGTGAACTAATGAGAAAATGGAAGTTCATTATTAATACAAGCAAACGTAAGTTTTAGAGGATAATAATGGAAATCAGCATTACATGGATTCGCTTGCTTTATTCCCAGAGTTGCAGCTGCCATTGTTGATGTGAATCCTCTCTGTGTGAGGATGGTATGAAAAAGCAAATGGCGATGAAAAGAATGTTTGTTTGTTTGTTTATTTGTTTTGGAATTGCAGGTTGTATGGCAGCAAGCTTCCAGTATTCCTTACTGTGCTCACAGATAATATAAGAATCAAGTGATATTGTTTATTATTAGAGCTTATATTTACATGTTTATTGGTCAGAGATTTTATGGGTCTGCCCATGGTGAAATTGTTTGGAGGTGGAAAATCGTTTGTTATTGAAGAGGAACGGGAGAAAAAGGAAATTCTGTTCACTCAGCTGATGCTTTAAAAAAATTTTCTGCAGAGGTCTGGAAGCAAAATTTAAAGCTTCTCAGCTTTAAAGAGAAGCTAGAAGTCAAGGACTGGACTTGAGAGTTTCAAAGTTACCCAGAGACTTTTTCATGTGGATGCCAAGTACAGCGAGGTGCTTGGCGGAGTTCGACAGCAGTGGAGTTATCCACATGGATGTAGCTCCGGTGGCCAGCAGAAAGGCAATTGCATTTTACAGAGCAACTCTTCTGCCTTTTCTAACCAGTACTGTTTAGAAATCTGCTCTCCAGGTAATTTTCGTAGTTTTGTCCCTGCTGTGGTTAGCATCACACACATTTCTGGAAATCTTTCATTAAGGTTAAGATCTGCATCTTCTAGGTGTTCTGTGATTTCTTTTTAAACGTAGAACTACTTTGTCTATTTCCTTTTTTCTTCACTTGCTTTCTTGCTAATGGTGACACCCCAGCGATCAAATCCTGTAGTCTCATCGCGCTGGAGAGCGGTGCTGGTGCCCGGGGACAACTTTCCGCTTCTCGGGCAGCAGAGGGCGGGCAGAGGCACAGACCAGTGCCCCGCTGGGGCGTTTGAGGTTCTGAGCCCTGGAGTGAGTTCAAAAAAACCTGCAAGCTCCCAGAGCACACATCAGAATCTCCTGGGTAACTTGGAATTCTGGGTTGCCTTTTTCAGTGCAGTATGCTACAAAACTCAAAATATGCTTTTTAATTATTTTCTTTTCTAAATGATGAATGCATAGTAAGTTGAGAGCTAGTGTCGAGGCATCAAATTCTGGTTTCTAATTTGGTAATTTTAATAGTCTAAAAAATTTCCACATCCAAAGATTTTTTTCTTTCTAAGACTTCATTTAAGGACTTCAGGATTTTGGCTGAAATTAATTAAATGCTATTGGCTATGCATTAAGAAGCTGGACGCTGTTTGGATTTTTTGTTGTTATTTCTAGAGGTTTTACTGTATTCTAACTTTGCATCAGTTTTGGCAAGGACTTTTGAGGGCTAAGAAGGTTTTTTGTTGTGTTTGTTTGTTGTTTCTTTGTTTGTTTTTTTAAAAAAAGAAGTTGTGGAGACATTCCCAAACTGCTGTTGCTCACTCTTCTGAGACATCCTTTTCGAGTCCTTAATCAGGCATATCCCCTAGTTTTGTTCCGGAATTTCTGTGCTTCTGTTCTTTCCTTAGGGCAAAAGAATCTGGAAGGTGTCAGAGAGGTTCAGAATTTGTTCGTGATTGCTGTTGCCCGCTAATTGCAGTGTGCTGAAAGATGATGTAAACATACTGATCGACTGATATGATCTCAGTGATAAAAGAATGAAGTAACATTTAAATTTATCTGCTTTTGTATGTTCTTAAAGCATATAGGTGCTTTCTGATTCTTTTCTGATTCTTAAGAATTTTGCATGCTCAGGCTCTTAATTGTCACTTCCTCATTGCTTTCACTTGTATCACCTTACTGGCTTATTAATCTTTTCCAGTTTCTAGCAGCTCTAGCTGTACAAAACTCCCCAGCAGCCGGTTTGTTGGTTACCCTATGGACACTGTCGGTCAGTGCCTCGGCAGTATTTGACTCCTGGGATGCAGAACCCCTAAGAGGCACAGGCATTGATGGATTTCAGCATTCTTTGGGTGGGAATGTAATGCGTAAACCAATTCGTATTAGTATCAGTAAGCAGAGTGAAAAGAGTGTTTTATGCTCCAGTCTGGTTTCTCAGAGCTTAAGTGGACAAACACTTTTGTGTGCGGTCTGCTCAGAGGGGGACAGAGGTAAAAACCTCGCAGCTGAAATTGCTGTAAGCACGATACTTCCACTTGTGCTGTTTCTAAGGGTCTGAAGATGGCTGGAGGAAATGTAGGTGGGCTGTGTAAAGCTATGAAGAGCCCACTGAATGCGTGAAATCCGAAATTTTACGGAGACATTGAAACATGAATTTCCTTTATTTTATTTTTTTTCCCTTCAGAGAAAGATCAAGTTTGTGTATGAAGATTTTATTTAAAAATGCTGATCAGTTTTCATTATAGCTGGGTTTTTTGTCCTGACTTGTACCTGGTGTAGAGTCCCAGAGCCTGACAACTTTGTCTTTCTCTGCAATCATGAAGGAAGAAAAAGTTCTGCTTGAGGAATGTAAAAAATGTTGTTAACTCAGTCTGAATACTTGTTTTGATATCCTTATTGCATAACGTTTGTACAATAAAACTAACAAGTTTAATTTTTTTAAATATTTTTATCTTTTGTGTCCTGAACTACTTCCAAAATTCAATGTAAGGACCCAGTTACTGATGCTTGAAAAATTCTTCAGGTTGTAAACAGATGGGTTCCAGTCATTTCTTCACATGTCTGTTTATATTCTGACTATTTGAACTTTTAAGTTACACGTTTGTTGAGCACACTGCTTTTAAATAAAAAATAATGGCAACATTGAATGTATGGCAACCTATTTATATGTATGAGCTGGTTTAAATGTAAGTCAGTATAATGATTTCAGGTTATATAACATAATAAAATGTCGACCTGAATAGCTCTATTTTATTTTCATATTGATAAAAATATCACGGGCGTGTTCACCAAGTTGACCCTAGTATTAAAATCTATAAATTTTTTTATACGATTCTTCACTGATTGTATTTAGATAATATTTTACAAGCCCAGAAAGCCTGGAAAATATATGATGTTACTATTTCTTCAGTTAAAAAGCTGGACAGACTGTCCGTTACAGTTCTGCCTTTCAGTAGAGTCAAACTCCTAAAAGCTATGGCAGTCAGAAGTCAGGGTACTTGTCCACTGATGCAGATAAATCTGTTGCCCCGTTAAGGGCAGTTTCTCCAGATATGTGATTTGAGCCAATTTAGTGCTATATTGAATTTACAAAAATTTCTTTTTTCCAGATCTGGTGAGAACAGCTTTGGGCAGTGTTAGGTAAACGCTGGCAGACCGTACACAATGGTTCCTCCGTCAGGGGCTGCCTTTATGCTGCCTTCTCCCTACGTACCGAAACCGGCCGCG